GAAGGGGGGGGGGGGGGGGTCGTCGAATGGTGTGTTCATTGGGGCCTGGAGTGCTGCGTAGCACGTTCTGGCACTCTCTGAAATGTCCGAAAGTGTCCGACGAGTTGCCGGCGCAACGAGTCTGAGGAATTGCGAGCGGGTCAGCCTAGCTAACGTGCCTAACGTGCCGTCCGAGAACGCAAGAAGGTCTAGGGCTGTAGGGCTGTAGGGCTGTAGGGCAGGCCGACACTCTGCCGTTACTCTCGGATCTCAGCAGCATGCACGTCGGTGAACGTTTCGGCGCTCCGATAGGCGAGATCCGATCATCACTATAAAGCGATTCTCCACAGAGCTCTAGCTCTTCTGAAACAGAGTGCAGAGTTTTGAGGCGGTAGCGAAGCGATGGCCAGAGCAAATGTGCAGGACAGGTAGGGCAGGAAGGAGCAGCTGAAGAAGATTCGACGACGATTAGTCCTGGTCCGGTGGACCGGGCTTTCGCTTGCTCCTCGTCACAGTTTTTTTTGTAAATTTTATAGCTTTTGAATAAATTATCTTTGCCATGGGACTATAGTTTATTCTTGTTAGCCAGTTTCTCGCGTTTAAATTTCAATACGATTGAACGAAAAAATCTGCATTTATTCAAAAGTGCAATGAAATTGTCGCTCTGAGAGACCGTGCGTGACGGATCAAGAGTGAAAATAGGTTTACGTCGAGCTAGAATCGTGAGTAGGAGAAGTTTAGTGATGCTTCGGAGGTCAAAGTGTCCAGATGCTGTAGACCAAGTCGATGCCATAGATTACTGAAAGCTTGTAGACAGTGAAGATGCGGTACAGACGATACAGCGGATGAATTGGATAGATAGTGCGCCTGCCCTTTCCCACCGAGGCTGTGTTCTGTGTGCTACAGAACTTCCCCTTCACTCGTCGCTTCGTTCTCCCCTCGCCACGTTCCGAGTCCCGAGTCCCCACTCTCGCCCAATCGGAGATTCGATCGGCAGGAAGGTTCGGGTAGTTGCCGTTGAAGCTGGGAGTCGCAGTCGTCGCGGGCGTCGCGACGCCCCGTAAACACAGAAGAGCCACGGGGTGCGTCCACCGCCCCGCCATGTCCCGCAAAGGCCGCCGCTCGAGAGCAGCAGGCGTGCGCGAAGGTCCCTCGGAGCGAAGCTCTCGCCGGAGAACCACTGGACTGCCTAGGTGGCAGAGGGTGGATCGGCCAAGTCGTGCGTTCACCCCGCGCCGCGACGACAGGGCGTCGTTTCAGCCCCGTAAGATACCCTCGAAATTTCTTGACCGGGCTCTTCCTCGGGAGCCACTCTCTCTCCGTCGCGAGTGTCATCCTCTCCTCGAGATACCCTGTGGGAATTTCGCCGGGCTGGCCATTGAAATCGCTTTCGTCGGCGCCATTTCTTCCCTACGGAAGGAGGCGAGCGCTGCTTGTGCGGCACGTTGGCCAGTCGAATGTGCTAGGAAGGAGAAAGAGAGTGTCGGGTAGCTGTGCAGAAGGAGAAAAGAAAGAGACGGAGAGGAGCGAGTGAAAGAGAGAGAGAGAGAGAGAGAGAGATACGCAGCAGCAGCACAGTGCCGTGCACACGTGGCTTTGGTCGCCGCCTAACATCCGCGCACAGCCCCCTTTTCGCCAAGCAACCCTCGTTCGCAGGATCCTCCTGTGTCTTTTGGCTCGACGAATCTAGAGAACTGTTTTCTTCGGTATTTCGTACGCAAACTGAAATTCCAAGAAGCAAAGTGGAAGATTTGACAACTAGGATCACGCTGGTGCTTGCGGTTTAAGCTTGCGGCCAGAAGTTAATTATTCTCATTCGGAAGGGTCAGTAGTCATCCAAATAGAGATTATCTTCTCCGTCTGAATTTCGAGGCTTCGATTCTAAATGGACGTTTGCTGAATGTTCGAATTGGCAAGAGGAGCCCAAAGATCAAGGACGCCGTCCAA